CCCCCCCCCCCCCCCGACCCCTCCAGCGCTTCTCTCTACTTGACAGGTGCGAGCTGAGCCCGCGTTTGAGGGAGGCGTGCGCAGCGCTGCACAGGCAGCTGAGCCGGCCGCGCGGAATCGCCCGCGACGGCGTGAGTGCCCACGAGAGCCCTTCATGGATGGGAGTCGTGGGCCCCATCGGGGTCTCCCCTGACGCCCTCTTAGGGAGCGCGTGGGGTTTCCTGGAGTTGGGGGACCCCAGGTTCCACCCCTTCGCGCCGAGATCCCCCCGGCTCCCCATCCCAGGCTCCTCAAAGGCATGTCCGTCCCGGGACAGCGCTGAAGTGTTCCGTTTCCCCTGAGGGCCCGCCCCAAGCTCTGGCCCCACTCCCATACCCCCCAAAGGCAGGCGCTCACCGCCTTCCTCCACTCTAGGTTCTCCCACAGGCTCTTTTCCCAGAGGGGAGGATCCCTGCCCCCTTGAGCCTGGGACCCACACTGGCTCGTAGTCCCTCTTCCAAAGGGGTGTGGCGCCACCGACACCCTCAGACAAGCAGCGACCCTTCCTGCCCGGCCGGATTCCCGTCCCCCCTCCACAAGACCTGGACCGTCTCTGACGCCTTTCCTCCTGTCCCGGCAGGGCGCGGCGCGCCTAGTGGCCCAGGAGTGGTTTCGGGTGTCGAGCCAGCGGCGCTCTCAGGCGGAGCCCGTGGCTGGGGTGCTGGGCGCCGTGGCGCGCCTGGGACCCGAGCTGCTGGCCCACGTGGTGAACCTGGCGGATGGCAACGGGAACACAGCCCTGCACTACAGCGTGTCCCATGGGAACCTGGCCATCTCGAACTTGCTGCTGGACACTGGTCAGCGCCTTCCTCCTGGGGCACAGGATCCCCGTGTCCTGGGCGGATTGCCAAGGGCCTTCAGACCTCTGCATCCTCTGAGCTGTGCACGGGTGGCCTTTCACTCTGTGGGGTGCCAGGATACAGGCTCTGGAATTAGACCTAAATCTAGAGGAATCACTTAGTCTCACCAGCCTCGGCCTCCCCATCTGGGAAACCGGGAGGCCACAGGGCCCTCCCCGGGTAGTTGTGATGACACGGGTACCTTAGTGCCAGGTGCACAGGCAGCCAGTCAGTGGTCCCCGTGCCTTCTGTTCCTGAATCTCCAGCCCTGGCCCTCTCCTCTGTCCAGCCACCTGCCTCCCCAGACTTGAGGGGAGGCCTTCAGGTCAGGGCTCTGAGCACCCACCCAGGCCCGGCCACTATGCCCTCCTCCACCCCCACATCTCGCATTGGCTCCGGTTCACACATTTTTATCACCTGCTCATGCTTGCTCCTCACCTGCCCCAACTTTCCCCCTCTGGAGCTGAGATACACACTTCTGGGTTGTTGCTGAGCCCACAAGACCTGTATTGAGAGCCTACTGGGTACCAGTACAGTGCTGGGGTGGGGGGCGGGCCACCCACATACAGCCGCTCTCCCCATGGGACTCAGAGCGGAGGGGACAGTGGGCAGTGCACAAACTGCCCACCAAGAGCCCTCCTGGGCACCATCCTTCAGGCCCAGTGTCTGCTGGGTCCTGCCTTTGGAGGCTTCTCACTCTCAATGCAGGCTAAGGCAGGTCCCACTGTCCCCTGTCCCACCCCACCCAAACAAAGATCTGTCCCATCCCTGAAGATCTTGGTGACCTGGGGAAGGGCACAGTTGCTCTGAGCTATACAGGGAGCTGGAGCTCAGGAGGGGGGATGATACATGATTCGAGAGTATCCTGTATCTCTCGATACTCTCGATATTCCCTGGCATCTCCTGCCTAAAAGGGGGCTGGGGATGGGGGCTTCAGCAGCTGGCAAGGAAGGCACAGCTCAGTCACAAGAAGCCCAAGGCTTCATGGACCCTCTTTATTCCTTGCATCAACCCCCCACCCCCCGCCCCCAGCTCCCAATGCCCCAGACCTTGCCCTATACCTTCTACCTTTCACACCAGACATTCTCTCTGCCCCTGTCTGCTTGCTCCCATGTCAACCTGGGTCTTCCCTCCCCTAGGACCCTGTCCTCAGTGTCCTCCCCCTGTAGGGGCTGTCTCACCTCCCTGGAATGCAGGGCCTGGACAGGGCTGTGTATCGTTGCTACTTCTCTCCACTTAGAACTTTCCCTGTTTCTCCCTCAACCCTACCTTGCAGCCTCTTATTGGTCAGTCTGCTAGTCTCTCCACCCCTTCTGGCTTCTCCCTCCTAGGAGGTCACATTACTCGCATTTTCGTCCCAGGCCAGCTCTCCTTTGCAGGCTAATCCACACCAGTTTCAGCATCCTTATGGAATATTCCTCTTGCCTCCAGGCTTCTTGGTTCCTTGACCCCGCTTCTCCCTTCATCTTGACCTCTGCCCTACGTCAGCCTTATACTTGTAAGGTCACCCGGAGATCTTGATGTCACTGAAGACGACGCCCCCTCCACAATCTCACTCCCAGCACCCCTCTTCTCAGCTCTCACCCGCCAACATTTTGGTTGCCCCAGTGGCTGGCCCTAACATCCTTGGCCCTCACAGGACCGTTGGCCATTGCTCCCTCATTTCACTGTCCTCATCCAGTCTCCTTGTTCACCTTCTGTCATTTACTCCTTTATGTCCCCTTTCAAACTCTTGTG